CCCCATACATAATGACCATTGGACACAGTATGGGTATTGTCGTTAAAATAGTAATAAATAATAGTATTTAATTTGTATATTATGTACACACACGACACACCGACCGGCTGTATAAACGTCCGTTGGTAGAATATTGTTCATTGCAATTCCAATAAATACCATTGAACGATTGAACGGACTTTTTTCTTATTTTTGCTCGCGAATAGCCTACCGATTTTCATATTATCTATAATATCACTCATTCTAACAGGGTTACTTACTCGTTAGTTGTTACTCGTCATACTAAATAAATAACCACTGTCCACTGATGCTATTTTAAGTTCTAAGCGAAAATATAATTTGACTATTTTTAATAAATTTGTAGAGAATTTGATAAAGTTAGTTTTTTTTCTGAACTACATTAATATARTTTTTGTTTCTTGGTAAAAATCTTTGAACACTCAATGCAAGGTTCTTCAAAGTTTTTTTTACAGAAATTAAAAAATATCGAAAGTAAATTTTGTTTTATCTTTGGACATTATTACATTTTTGTAGGTAATTCAAAAAAATATTTATCGTAAAGACTTGAAACTTTCTTCCATTGTTACCTATATATTAATAGAGTGAAGTTTTTGAAATATTTAGTTAAAGTTATTTATAAGTACAAATAGAACAATGGATGTTGGACATACTGTCTCACTATTCTACATTTTATTTTGCTACGTCGGTATTAAATGATAAGTTATACCTACATACTTACAAGTTACAATATTTTAATATTTATATGCGATGTATTTGGAATTTCGGCAATTTGGCATTAAATAGTTCAAATTACAGAATTAAGAAATACTAATAAATAATGATAGTATAAAATATACTCTCCTTATTAGATGCTAGCCCAAAAGTCTCATTTGCTTTGAATTATATTTCTTTCTTTGTACCTTTCTAAATGACCAAGTGGGTAGGTAGGTGAATTCAAAACCTACTATATGCACTATGCAGTAAAGCTAGTTACTCAGATTTTGTATTTTTCACAAACTAATTATTTGCACATACATTTATAACACGTACGTAGACACTCGTTGAGAAACCTTGTCACGTACATCCCTCTAATCGCAGTCCTGCAGTATTATCGGACTAGCCTAGCTATAGCTATAAATATTTTTTGTTTCAAAACGTACTGAACTGTGCTCCAATATTAAGCTTTAAAATAATAAATAGAATATTTATTAGCAGGTCGGTACATTAATTATTATTATTTGTTCTCCATATAATAGTTTGTTGTCGCTAATCTAAACTAGAGGTAAATGACAATTTATTTTTCACGTTTCTTAAAATTACGAGGTTCGAGATATAATAATGCAGTTGTGCTTATTTTTGTAGATATTTGGAATTGGAATAACTATAATGTTCGTTGAGAATTCAAATAGTTATGTGAGTTCAGACTTCAGACTGGAGGAGGCGAGAAGAGGACATACATAATTTATATACATGTATGACAATGATGTGAGCATTAAGTCAAACAAACATGATGGTGAAACATATTATCGGATACAATGCAGTTAAACTGTACAYATACCTATATTATAATTATAGTGAGTGTATATCTGTATGATGTGTACCGTGTATGTATCATCATATATGATCATTATACAGTTCGATTATTGTTTACTCGTGTTCACGTCAACATAATATAGATAGTATAGCACAGTATCACAACCCCGTGTCTCGAGTTTTACCAACCGTTCATGTTCAAACAAACATTAAAAAAAAAAAAAAAATGCTTCGCTTTATTTAAACGAATGCGTCAACCATCATGCAGCGCTGCGTGAAACTATGCATAGGTAGTTAATATTATAATTCATAATATATACGTGTATGTCGTATTTATAAAATTTGTAAAATGTTATACGTATTTAACCGGTTGATGTGTTAGTGACTATATATTATAATAGTGCTGCTCGACCACATCGTCATCAGATACCGCGCGGACAAGCTATAAAACGGTCTCGGTTTCCGCGCGTCGAACTTTTTTTTTTAATCATAATAATATATTACTAAAAAGAAAAATACCACTCAAAAGAATACTATTGCATAATAGCTTGTATGTCGTGCGGTCTCTGTCACTTTGTTTATCTATCGAACGTCGAAACGTGAGTGTAGGTCAACAATGCTGTGTACCTATAGGTTTCGGCCGTTTCGTTATATTATACGGTTCTATTTTATCCMTCCCTCCCCCRCACACGATGATTACACGTGCAGCGCATATTCTTTTCGCGCACGCGCGGTACACTTCCAATATTATGCTTGTAGGGAAACGACTTACGAAAAGTTTGCATGCTGGACACGGCGGCGGTGTATAATAATATGATATAACGTTGCGCGTGACGGACATTAAAGTCAACTGCGTGGTGGATTCGACCCCGTCGTATATAAGGTATAAGGTATATACGTACGTACGTATATGATTTCAGTTTTTCTACGAATTTCTATATAATATCGCGTGACCAGCTATATGTGTGTTCCAGACTCCGCACTAAGAGGTAGTCCAAGTAAAAAAAGTCGACTGTGTATAAACATTATGACCAATATAGTATATTTATGTATATAATAAATATATTTATATGTACCTATATTCAACGCCCAGCAATGTAACTACAACCAGGGGATGTGTGGTTAGACCACTACTCCTCACCACCCCCCCCCACCCTGAACCCCTACCATTATACGATTGAATGCCCTAAACTATATATAAATAAACCATCCATAGTTCCATTTCTATACGTATTACGGATGCGTTTTAAAGTTTGTCAAGTAGAATAGTATATTATGTACTCCAGGGGGGGGGGGTCAAACTTATTTGATATAATTTTAGAAACATTTTCCGGGAATACATAATATTATTATGCTTTGAGGATTGCTCATAATCGTGCACGTCAATTTTTATTTTTAAATTTATCAATTATAAACGTACTATAAGTAGTAATTATAATATTAATAATAAAAATAAAATATCGAGTAGTACAAAAATGAGTGTTCTACGTTAAATTTTTAAGTGATTTCAAAATAAATTTGCAACTGCAGTTGACGTGTAGAAGCGTGTCATTGCATATGTWATCGTTGCGGGTGGTTGATTAWTCTGGGGAATAGTCACCAGCTGCTAAACGAAAACTTGCTATAACTGWTCATGTGAAATTGCGGTTCGGTTTTATAACTTTCATTTGAGAAAAAAAATTTCACACAGACAAGTAAACGTGAAATATAAATAAATATCTCTACCTAACTGTATCTGCCAAATGTACAACACTATTTTCCTAATCGAGGTGTAGCGCTGCCATGAAAATTTTATTTTTAAACATCATTGTATACCATGAACATTTTTGGCTTAAAAATATAGGAGAAAAAATTGTGCACGAAAGCGTCGCTGCTCGCAACTTATTTTACATATATGATACGCGTGAATGCGTGATGTACCGCCTCACAATCATATCGGAATTTTCCACATAATTTTGACGTTGTCAGACAACAATTTTTGTTTAGAAACTGTATAGAATGGCTAAAACAGTCTGTAATAAAATGTTGATAATATAAAAAAAAAAAAACTAGGTCTACGTTCTCAACACCCTCACAACGCGGACATCGATCACCGAAGTATTGCACCATATGCTCATAATATTATAATAATTATAGGTAGTTATTTACCGACTATCGATGATGTACTCGCAAAAGTAAATCTTCCACTGTCGTTTATAACTTATACTGCAACAGCCCTCCGCATCCGAAACCTAAGCCGGCATTCTTAGATATTTATTTATTATTATAATTATTTTTTTTTTTTTTTTTATCACAGATACATCGCAAACGGATTCTATCGTACGATAGTTTTTATTTATTTATTTTTTTTTGTTCCCTCGGCTGTAATTTAGCTTAAGTATATTATGTTTGTGTGTGTGTATATATTATATATATATAAGATCAAACGCTACAGGAGGGGTGAAAATTCGCTGCACTCGCGCCAATCGTAGAGCTCGGAACGCGATTATATTATATCTTTGCAGTCGTTCGGGAAGGACGCTCCACTTTTTTCTCGGCCTCCGTCTCATCGATAGTGGTGATGGGTAGAAGGCTTAACGGTTGGCCGTTAAAGTTTCCCGCTGCGCGAAGATGTTGGCTGCGCCGCGGGCGAAGACGCACGCGCACGCGCCCCGATATGAGATGATCTGCCACCATCTCCACCTGCACATTGCACGACCTCCTTTATCGGCCTATAGTGCTATATTGTACACCTATATGATACACTCATCAAACTCGCTATATGTACGTAATGATGAAAAGTTTCTGGTTTCTATAAACAACATATTATATTGAATTACAACGAAAAAATAAATAGAATCGTTAATTTACATTTGAATATCCAATGTCATTAAAATGCCATTTTAAAATGTTTATAAATTTATAGCAAAACGAAATTGTAAATATAGTATTTTAGATATTTTTGAATTGTTACTAACAATTATACAGAAACTTATGAGTTACGAGTAACCTTGCATTTTAATAGTTTTCAAAGCTATTAAAAATGAAAATGTTATGAATTTATGGCTAGAAAAAAATTTGTAAATTGTAAGTTATCATTTCGAAATAATTACATCTACCTGCACATATTTCTCGTTCCCCATGGCCCATAGAATCTAATACCCACATAATAACGTTAATATATGAAAACGACGTTTGAGGATAAATATTTGAAGTGTTTTGAAACTAATTTGACTATACGACAGTGTTTGCAGGGATTGAAACGTTCACCAAAATAGTGAACACGTTCACGTTCATTGTCCAATACTATTAACTCATCCAGGTGCACGTTTGTTGAAAAAATAACGCGTTCGTACCCGTTCAATGTTGCCAAAAAATCCTTAGATATCAAATATTATTACTATCGAACTTATCTTCTGAGACCGTGTTCCGGCGTGATAAGTCATCTATTCTGTGACCATGCCACAAGATTTTATTTCAATATTATTAGATATATCAATATATCATTGATATATCATGATATATCAAATGAACGTTAATTGAACGAAAAAAAGTCGTTTGCGTTCGTATAATAGTTATAATTGATGGCGCGTTCACGTACACATTTGAATGCGTTCTTTCCAAACACTGCTGTACGAGAGTATAATAATAACTATGATCGGATAACATTCTATACCACGGGTTATTGTTTTATAGGTTCGAACGAATGTTTCACCTGGCTCATAATTTTTCGCAAATGTATACCAACTAGAGATACTTTAGACGTTTTGTTAACCGGTTATTAAATTTATGTATTTTCATCGCAGGCGGAGCCATTTGCTGCAGAAAATTCCCAAGGATACCCTCTCGACTGGCCGACGTCAGTTGACTTTCCTGATTCGTCAAACGAATACGACAAATCGTCATCGTCGGATGAAAACTCCAACGAGAACTCATGCTGCAATCTTTACGAATTCATCGTAAAAAAACCCGACGGACAGGACGTTTGTTTGAGTCAATACGCGTAAGTACGCACCGCAAACCTACAGGTTCTTGTAAATTGGTATAATCCGTGCACACGGTAAGAGCAGAACATTTTCGGATCGATCAACGATCTTTAACCGCTAGACTGCAATTATATATATAATATATGCATAAATATATATATGCTGCACCTACAAATTATTGTATATGGAACTAAGCGTTCATGTACAAGTACGTCTAGACCATCAGCATTCGGTTTGAAATAAAAATACGATTATGTATATTTATATGGTATACTAATTGTGCAGTATTCACAAATGAAAAAAATAACAAACAAAAAATATAGCTCTATATCTGGTTTTAGTGAGAAAATCGGCGTCAGTGTACTTCGCTAAATGTGTGTAGTGTGTGAACTAAATCGACCGAGATGGAAAATTCGCCTGTAGTGGATTGGATGTAGCCTAGGTATATTTCCGAGCCTGGTTCAAAGCTCAAACTACCTATTCTCCAAACTTTTCTGATATCTCTAAGGCTAATTTAAAATTTTCATCAAAATCTGTCGAGTGGTTTTTGAGTGTACTCAACTCTTATATTTGTTTTAACTTTTAAGAAATAATTTCTTTACTTAAGGCTATAATAGTAACGTGATAATTTGATGCATGTTTTTACCTCATCTGCTCGAAGAACCAATGAAAACCATATGTACCTACATAGTATCGATAGTATCGTATTCCCATGAACCTTGGATGGTAAATTAACTTTTATATGAAACATGGTTTTTTCTTAAACATTTTTATATTTTTAGAATTTTTACTTGCTGAACCCGACAGCTCCTCCGCACCTTCACCCAGATATAATTAAACCWTACTGAATGACCGACTTATACAACAATATCTATTTTAGTATATATAGCTGCGTGATGTATAGGCATACAATTATAGGTACATAATAAATAATTGTATACGATGATAGAATGTGTATATTATTCGGATTGCAGTGGTAAAGTGTTGATCATTGTAAATTATGCGTCCGGATGCGGTTTCACATCCCAAAACGTACACGATCTGTCAAAATTAGCCATAAAGTTCAAGGAAAGTGGCTTAAAAATACTGATATTCCCCAGCAACGACTTTTTACAGGTATAATGACTATATAATATATATGAATTGCACATTGGATTTATTATTATAAACTGTTRCTTTCATCAATTGTCGTTTGATTATTGATTGATTGTTGGCATACTGATGTATTTAAGTGGTTTAAAATGTTGGAAACTCTAAGTTTAATTCATTGATGCAGCTTATAAACGTTTTATCTATAAACAGAGTGAATGAGCTTTTGAGGAGAAATTTGTAATCTGCCTACTTAGTTATTAGTATGCTGTGTACAAATAAACACCATCTCAAAAAAAAAAACACTTTTGTACCTTAATTGATTTAGCACTATCTACAGCGCAGAAACATAGATTATATAGCAAATGTCAAGTCTAAATTAATATCACAATGAGTTTGTAGAAAATAAATAAAAATATAAAATACATATTTTATTTTACATAATAATTAAATAATCAAAAACATGATGTGAATATAATTCATTGTAGGTACTTATGATTAATATTAAATTAATATTATAATTTAAATTAATATTTAATTAAATTACAGAATAAATTAGGTACGTAAGTATGAGCGTTTTTACAAGACGTTAACATTTTTTGTATACAAATCAACTCCGTTACAATGATTTTTGATTGTGTTTAATTAGATATTCTTGTCGATAATCGTATTATTTCCTATGTATTTTTGTTTTATGTCCGAACACTACAGTGCTATTTAAACGCACACAAATAATTATGAATTATGAGTTATTTATGTTATTAATAATAATATGTGTATATATAATAGAACTTCGGTGGAGATATCGAGGCCAAAAAATTTGCAAGTAAACATCCTGAATTTGAAGTGTTTTCGGAAATATGCGTAAATGGCAAAACACAACATCCGTTGTATAAATTTCTCAAAACAAAATTGCCCGGCGCTTTAAATTCCAAGTAATGCTGCCAGAACCCAAATTCATCACTATTTTTGTATTTCAGACTTAAGTATAGTTAGTGATGCGAGTAAAAAATTTTCAGAACTATTAAATGGAATTTCACCAAATTTTTAATAGACAGGAATGGATGTCCTGTTCAACGATTTGCTGCGACAGAAAGTTTTGAGGTAAACATTGATATTATAATAGCAGAGCACTATATACTTCTCTAGTTATAAAAAATAAAACTTAAAAGAAATATATAACATAATAACCCTACTTAATAGTAGTAGAACGATTACAGCAGTGATTGATTTATACCTTTTGTTAAAAATTATATTTATTTTAAAATTGTGCAAAAAATAATTAAATCATAATATAATGTRGGTACAGATTTTAAATAAACAAATCGAACAAAATAATATCAAGTGAAAATAAATATTAATCATGATTCAAAATATTGAATTAATCTTTTGAATTGAATTTTTGTGATTAAACAGGCTATAGAAGAATTAGTACAAACACTGTTACAGAAACGATGTTACTAAATAATGTTGCGTTTAACTCAGTATCGTTCAGCTACCTATTCGGTTTTACAACACGAAGTAATTTTTTCATTTTTTTCAGATTCCATCTTACTACATATAGGTAATTGTAATTTGTAGTATGTTATTATATAAAAACTTTATATTATTCAATCATTTTAATCAAGCATTAAACTTTTGTTATGTTAAAAGTTAAATTTATCGCGTTATTTTAATAATTTAAAACGAAGTTATTAAAATAATTATTTTGACTTTTTTTGAAATTAAAATGTATCACACTATCGTATTATAATTAAAAGATTTGCTTAAAAATTATGTGTTGCATTTCATTAAATAAAAATGATTAAGTTTAGCTGACGAACAAATAAATTTAATTTGCTGTCAGCGTTGAAAAAACAATGTATGAATGTATGATATATTACTTGCAAGAGGATTCAATCAAATTCAAATCCATATCGTTACAACATTTACCAATAAACTCTAAAAGTTGGTATCTGAAGACTTTATTTTTCAGTAGATATATAAATAAATATCGAATACTCACGTTTTTAAACATAATTCTGGTTTTATTTTATAAAATTTCACAAATGGTAGTTTGTATGACAAATAATAACCTGATACCAAATAATGATTATATTATGATGCATTCAAGGCTACAACATTTATAAAACGATATACTATATTATATATCTTTTTAACTTTGGTAGTAAACAAAACGAAATTACGTTTACTTATCTCTAACATGTGTGATAAAAGAGTATCTATAATCTATATAGGCACATATAATTGGAAAATAATAGTAGTACCTATAGTATGGTACTTACATCGTATATATTAAAATAGACTTTATTTTAGACATCGTGCTGATGACAGTGTTATGTATACTAAATGTCAAATTAAATTGAACTTAAAAAAAACAACAGTTATGTTATCTTACTATAGTTATACTATACTTCGGGTGAGCCCGGAACCTTCGAACATCAACAAGCTTTGCCAATTTCTTTCAGCAACACAGCTGTTAATTCTATTGTAATTATTAGCTTCACATACCTCATACTTCATCAAATAATGTATACATTGTTACTTCTTTATGTTATTTTATATTATCTCATTTATCTTATATAACCTAACTATTATTATTAACTACTCTTTAATTGTATACATTTAATTTAATATATGTATTGTATTGTTTCGTAAATTGTACTTTATGTCCAATGGCCTAGCAGCCACGGACCTGTTCCATATATAATAAAAAAAAAAACAGTTATTTAGCTGCTTTTAGTCTTTTAAATAAAATGTTAAACGAGCTTGTAATAAAATATAATTAATAACACGACTTTCGTGCCTACAACAGTCAACAACAACAAAAGAATCACAAAATTGTGGTCATGTGACTAGAAAGAATCGATGAAAACCAAATGAATTGCAGTGAAAGACATAAACTTCAAATATTAGGTGGATACAAAACTCGAAAAAATCGTCACTTAAAGCAAGTTATTCCTAATAAATTATAAACAGCTATTTTGAAATATGTAAAGTCAAGCAAACCAATTCTAACTAAAAAAATAATTACATAAAACAAATAATTGTTTATGGATTTTTAATTTGTATTAAACTTTTACATACTTATTAGGTACCTTATAGCTTTACTGAAATATTTTCAAATGATTTGTTTTTTGAAAGAAAAAAACAGTTKTTTGAAAGTGCGATTAATTAGCAAGAAAGAATATTATAAGCATACAACTTAAAATAGTACCATCTCAAAGTATATATTATGCAATCTAATAATTAACACATTATACTCGATGAGATTTATTATCTTTCTTAATAATTTATAGAATATTTTACTACATATATATATATATTTATAAAATGTTTTGAAACTTGTGGATAGTAAGTATAGGTACTCTTTGGTGCAACCAAGGGGCATTCTTTGGGTCTTTAATACCCTTTATGTCAAAAGTAGCATCCTAAAAAATTGTTTAAAAAATTTAGGCCTGTTAAATCACTAAAAAACCTGAAGCTCAAGGACCCGCTTATTCWAATGTCTAGTTTCGCCGATGGGTAAACTTATGTTTATATAAATTATAATCTAAATTCTAAATAACTGATCAATCAAACATAATATAGGTAATAGATATCATACAAAATTTTAAATATTCTTAACATAAGAAAAACTCTTATAATAAAGCTTAAAATGTTAACAATAATATAGTCATAAAAAAATATCTACATTTTTGAAATGATCAGTTTTATAAGTTGTAAACTTGTAAATTTGTAATTGTTACAATTCTACTATGGATTGTAATCAGATATCAATCATATGCTATTATTATTGTATGTTGATAAAATAAACAGACCCATGTAAATAAAAAAGAGCATTTTATAGGTAATTAAAATTAAATCTTCCTGCACATGGGTTCCTTGTAGGTAATTACTTATTTCACGTTGCAATAAGCATTTTTTTCATGTATAAGGTATAAGAATTAATAAATAAAAATATTACATTTTATTTTATTTTTAAAAGATTCAAACATATTACTTGTAGGTTATGAATATTTATTATAGAAACAATCATTCGGTTAGTAGAAGTTAGGCATGTTAAACAATTTCAATCACATCAGTATATTATTTAATCATGTAATGGGTGAGAGCGGGTAAAGTTATTTCATACAAAATAAAATAATACAACGCACTGTAAATTGCAAATTGAGAATCATACTAGTAAGCCGGTTTTAAACCATAAAAGTACTTCTATAAACAAGGTTGTGAATAAAATTAATTGTAAACTTAAAATAATTATGAACACAATATGTACATACAAAATACAAATATACAATAATATTGTATTGTATAATATGTTATTAATGTCTTTGAATACTGCATATTATTATTAAATGGTATAATAATAACAAATAACAAATTATTGACATATCCTATGCTATTGTTCCAAACATAAAATTGAATTGTTACATATTTTGTTTTTTTTTTTAATTTACAAAATGATTTAATATGTTTCGCAAAATAATATAAAATTATRTTCAAAGAAATATGTTTTCCGTACCATTACACGCTTAAAAGTTGTAAATTAATTTTCACTCAGCATACATGTTTGACAAATAATTTGCAACCATTAGTACTATTGTCTATTGATAACTATAAACAATTTGGTTAACTACAAATGATAACGCTGCTATAATATGTAATGATATGGATTTTGAATCCACATAAAAAAAAATACATACACATTTAACTGTCTATCTGATAATTTAAAGTATCATATAAGTATGCCAATAGTATTKACTTAATAAAAGTAATTTATTTATTCAATAATTTGTTTGTCAATTAAAGATACACGCGTATCATCATTGGCATACATTAACTCGTTGACATTAAAAAATCATGTAGATCAGTTATTAAACAATATAACATCACGAAACATCATATTTTCAAATAGTTTCACTAATTTCAGTTTATAATAATTACAATAACCCTATAATGGACATTAGAATTAGAACTAACCTGTATTTAATTACGGCAATATTGGTAAGTCGATAAATTATTATTACATTTATTGTGTTTTATGTATTTTTTTATTATAATACCTAAATTCTATAAATTTATAAAATGTTTAAATTACACATTAAATTTCAGTAATTAGGCTTATTTAATTATATTTTTGATAAACATAGGTACAATAAATTAACTTGAATAAATGTATATATTTAAGATTGTATAACCTTTGATTAATTTCTATTAAAATTCAAAAGCCATTTATAAAAATGTTCTTATTATAAAATATGGTATTAAATTTTGTGATAGTGGTAATTTTACGAGTATACAATACATTATATTTGTCGTTAAAATAATTCTTCATTACATAAAAAATAAATTGAATTCGTACATTTTTTTAAATTAACAGAATAACTCAAATTACAATTATCATAAACTGATTTAAGATTTATAAAAATTATTTAGAACAATAGCTTAGTTAATCAATAATTAACTTTATCTAAACTTTTTTTTTTAATAGCTGACATCAAACTTTTTGACACTTTGTGAAGGTGACAATGACATTGATCATGAAATATTTTCTGATCACTTATATGATTTAGACCACTTGGACGACTTACATGATATAAATAATTTTGATGATGATAAAGTTATTCATAGAGTTGAATTAGTTCAACATAATGGAGATGCAATGAATAATTTTGCATCAACGTCTCATACGAATAAAGATACAAATAACAAGTTATTTACTAACACAATTCCAATTAACCAGAAATCTGATGTACCAACCGCTTTTACAAAAGTAGTAAAACAAACGGTTATAAAACAATCTAATAATGACGGAAATAATTCCCCAGAAACCAATGATTTATCAATGGAAGATATATTATACAGTAATAATAAATTGAAAGAAAATGGAATCGGTAACATGAACAACATTATTTTGCCACCAATACCTTCACAACCAGCTTCTGATCTACAAGGTAATATAAAAAATATAATACATACTACAGTGACAAAAACTACTACAAGTGGAAGTCCGTCAAGTAAACTAAACGAATCTTTTAATAGAATAAATAATTTAGACGCACTATCTACAATGAGTTCTGCAAACTCAAATTATAATGCCGGAATCGCAGGTTCAACTTCCTCACAATCTAATTCATTGGATGAAAATAGTAACAGGAAAACAATTTCAACGATAGAAAATATAATCGACAAAAATGATTTTGATAATTCTAAAAGAATATTCCATACACCAGGAGGTTCATTCAGGCGCATGAAAACTACAATAATAAAACAACATAATATAAATGACAGCAATGATCGTGGTGATTTAGATAAATCTACTGTAGGTTTTAATAGAGATAACACATCTTTAAATAATATTGTACCAACAATGACGAACCCTTTAGGGTATAATACGGTAACTACTGCAACTGTTGATAGGGATAATAATATATTTAATAAAGGAATTTCATCCAGGAGACAACAAACCAACTTAAACAAGTTTAATGCACTTGGAAATTTAGTG